AGAAAAGACGATTATGAAATCCCCCAACTTCACCTCCAAACCCTCTAACCCCTAATCGATTCAATCAGTGAGAAGAGTGTAAAGGACCCCCCCCAATCCGGCTGGCAGGATATAGTAAACAATTGTTCATTGGACCTCGACGTGATTTGAACTAAATTAAAGGTAAATTACATGCATCTTGTTAAGGGGGTTTCTGATTTAGTGTTTCTAGGAAACTCGTTAAATAATGATGAATGGGAGCTACTGGCTTGTCGTGACTGGCTTGGGGAGGGTTGGCGTCTTGGCGACGTGGGATAGGAACAGAAGCAATTGTTCTTTCAATCTCTCCAATTGAGTAGTAAAAGAATAATGATTAATCTAAAATTTATTCGATATTGATTGAGGTATCCCTGCAATATAACAATTTTGATGTTGTCTTCAAACAACCATTGGTCAACCAATGCCAACTGCTCTATTCCTCAATTTTCCCATCCATTCGTAATTTTTTTTTTTTTTGGATTTTTGACATAGTTTAAAGGTTTTAAGTTTAAATCTTGAAGAATAATGCTATTTAACACCGTCGATATTTAACACCAGTGTAGAGGATTAATGGTTCAATTAAATACGAGGATTTATGACATATTTAATATGTTGATATCTAGATTGATGTTCAACAATACTGGTATTAGATAATATTTTTTAATCTTGAAAATCAAAATTAAGGGTTAGGTTAACTTTTAAAGAAAAGGGATAAAAAATAAAAATAAACAAATTCTGTTGACATCCATATAGTGTACATTGAATAAGCCTCTTTCACAAAGAGCATGTCACCTCCTATTTGCTGACCCCATGCTCAAAGCTTACTGCTATTGGGTTATGAATGAGTTCTTTCGGTTTTTCGATAATTTAAATGAATGTATAGTCGATCATTCAAAATTAACTTAGTAGTATGCTTAGACCCTGTTTAATTGAGTTAAAAATTGTTAAAATTTCGAATCAAAATCAACAATTAATTTTAATCTCAATTCATGGATTCACAATATTTTAACCACATATTTTATTAAATTTTAACAAAATTTACTGAAAGTTTTGATTTTAATATACACCAAATTGGGACTCAATATTTTGGCCTTGGTCAATTACCAAAAGTCGACATGTTAAATGGTCAATCTTTAAAAAAAATTCTCATACACTAAAGTAAATCTACTTGTAATTTCTTTAGATATTATACTTAATATCGACCTTTCATTTTTCTTTAAAAAAAATTCTCATACACTAAAGTAAATCTACTTGTAATTTCTTTAGATATTATACTTAATATCGACCTTTCATTTTTCTCTACCATTTCGTGAGAACAAAATTTATGAAAAAAAGTTTTGTTTTGAAGAATTTTTTTTTGAATTTACAGACAAATTTATTTTATTAAAGAATGTGTGGTTAAATATTATATGCAAGTAATAAAACAATGTAACTTACAGACAATAGTTTTTAAAAAGGAATTTATTTTGAATTTACGTACAAATTTATTTTATTGAAGAATGTATGGTTGAAAATTTGATAACATGTAGACATTAAATGCAAGAAATAAAACAATGTAACTTACACGCAATAGTTTTTATGATATATTGTTGCATGAAATTTTAATATTTAATAAAAAAAAATTTCGGGTTGTTACATTTGATAATTGTATATATAATCAGGATTTGCATTTCTTGGTTCAGTATATTAAATAAAATTTTTAATTTAATTTTATGTTTAGTATTGTACGTATCCTCATATACGTTCAATAGGTTATGTCCCTACAATTTCAGAATTTTGAATTGTAAATCAAATCTTAAGAAATTTTGATTTAATTAAATAGGAGATGTGAAATGCTAATTATGCTATCATTTCTACTGTCTTTGCCGCCAAAAGCATATCCTCTGTATTAAGTATTAACTAATTTTCAATGATTTTACTGCCACGTATACAATCATGCATATTAAGCATGACTCTACATTTCCCATTGTAGAATATTATTACAGGAAAAGTCCTTTAACTTTCAAATGAGTTGCATTTTGATCAGAAATCTACAAATAGAACCATTATGTTCTTTACCATTCAATTTTATTGCACAGGAAAACTTCAATTGAAAAAATAAAACTCAAGTGGAAAATGGTAAAAAAAAATATTTCAAATGACATATAACAAAAAGGAACAAAAAAAAAAAGTCTGATTTAACAAATACTTTTTGTCCTTTGGGATTAAAAAGATTACAAATTGAAAAGTTATACACCTAATGTGAAAAAAGCTGAGGGATAAAATTGGAAATTTAATCATTTGCATTTTTCCCGCCCTTTGTTTGTTATTTACGTGCTCGTCTGAGAGAAAACTCATTCCGCCATTTCCACTCCGAATCAAGGTTTGATCGATTCTCCATCTCGTTTTTCCCCTTTCTGCACTTCTTCTCTGCATTTCTTCAATTTTCAACGAATGCACGTTTTTCACTTTTCAAAGACAGCATTTCATTTTTGCATTAGCAAATATGTTTGTAGGATTTTATTTCATTTTTTCCACACACTAATCAACTTATAATTTCAGGAAACATGAAGTTTTTTGGACTTTTCAAGAGGAGGTGATATGGAGATTTGTCTGACTAAACTTTGATTCTTAGTTTTTTATTTTTTATTTTTTTGATTTTTATTTTGATGATCTTATGATCGATCTGTGTATATTGTCACAGGACAATGCCGGAAGAAATGAGGGACGTTTATGACAGACTACAAGCTCAAAAAAAGGTTTGCTTATTACTTATATCATGATTTTCTGATGATTATTCATTTATTGGTGATTTATGTGAAACAGTTTTGGGGAAAAGAGAGACATAAATTCATCTGCCACACTCTCTCTTTTTAATTCATCCTCAATAGCGCTTTCTGAAGAAAATGCTAGTGTTAAATTCCTGTACCATTGGTAAGAGTTCCACCTGCAATTTAAACCACTGATTAAGGATCTGGACACTAGTATGAGAAGCATGAGAGTGAGAGAGGTACACTACTAACAAATGAAGGATGCTGCTGTTTGTAAATATGGAAAACTCGGATCCCAACATGGATAATGAGTTCAAAAGGATTGAGAAGCCGGTATTTGTAATTGTAAAATTGAGGAGCAAAGATTTTATCGAAATCTGGAAGTGTAAGAACAGGTGCTGTACAGATCGTCTTTGATCAGTTTAAAACTTTCATCTGCCTGCTTCGTCCATTTGAGCTTCCCTTTCTTCGTACAATCTATTACGGGGGCAATTATGGTGCTGAAATTTTTTATGAACCTCCGATAAAATGTTGCTAACCCATGGAAGCTTCGCACGTCACTTACTGTAGTGGTGCTGGCCAACTTCTAATCGCTTCAACTTTGCTGTCATCCACCTTTATTCCTATAGAACTTACTATGTAGCCCAAAAACAACAAGGAATCCAAAAGAAACTTGCATTTCTCATCTTCATGCAGAACATCTAAAACCTTTCTCAAGTGCGAAAAATGCAATTACTTTGATGAGCTATAGATTAAAATGTCATCAAAATAGACTACTAGAAACTTCCAAATGAACGGTTTTAGAACATGGTTCATCAAACGAATGAAGGTGCTTGGGGCATTTGATAAACCAAAAGGCATCGCCATCCATTCATATAAACCATCTTTAGTTTTGAATGCAATTTTCCACTCATCACCCTCCTGAATTCTAATTTGACGGTACCCATTTTTAAGATCAATCTTTGAAAACACTTTTGCCTCATGCAACATATCCAATATTTCATCTAACCGAGGTATAGGAAAGCAATATTTTACCATTATTTTGTGGCTAGCTCGACTATCAACACACATCCTCCATGTACCGTCTTTCTTTGGCGTTAAAAGTGTAGGGATCGCACGTAGGTCATGGATTCCTTGATGCACCCCTTTCTCAATAATTCTTCAACCTGCCTCTGCAACTCTTCATGCTCTTTTGGGCTCATCCAATAGTGTGGCAGATTTGGGAGACTAGATCCAGGGATTAAATCAATGTGGTGCTGTATGTCCCTTTTTGGAGGCAACCAGTCTGGCAAATCTGTAGGAATTACCTCCTCGAACTCCTTCAATAAGACTTCCAGTTCAGCAGGAATGATTGGCTGTTTTTCTTGTGCTTCTTTGACCAAAAGTGCTTATACTAGTTCATTAGCTGCTAATTTGAGCAAGAATTTCTTGGTGGTTAACTATGCATCCCCTTTTTCCTTTTCAGGTTTAGGATTGGAAAATTCTTCATCTTTCATGGATGCAAGGACCACCTTAACTCCATCCTTCTAGAATGTATAGATGTTCTTCTCCCTAATATGGATAGTTTTGCTATCAAATTGCCGTGGCCAACCTAATAGTATGTGACAAGCCTCCATATCCATGGGCGGATCTAGGGACGGGCTGGGCTGTACTACAGCCCGTCCCTCCAGCCCAAATGTCCATTAGGAAAAAAAATTTTTGAGTAAAATATTTTTGTTTTATACGTATTAGTCCGTTCTGAATTTTTTTCTGGATCTGCCCTTGACCATATCTACTATATCGCACAATACTTCATCTGAATAGTTTTTACCAATAGAAAAAGGAACAACACATTGTTCTGTTACTTTCGCCTCGCCTCTTTTTTTGAACCAAGCAGCTCGATATGGCCTTGGGTGTGGTTGGATTTTAAGATTCAGTTTCATCACCGTTTCTTTTGATATTAAGTTTTCACAGCTTCCCCCGTCAAAGATAACATTGCAAAGACGCCCTTGAGAAGAACACCGTGTTCAAAAGATGTTATTCCGCAACAAGTCATCCTCTGTAGCTTTTGGTGTTAGCATTGCACGACGCACCACCAGATTTGGAAAATCTTGGTTTTCATAAGTAACATCCTCTTCCGTGAAATCCAGCTACCGTTCATCTTCATTTGTGTCATCATATTTTTCCTCATTATTAATTGCCTCTTCGTCAACCAGTAAGTTTCTTGTAGCCCTTCGGCAATCAGAAGACTTGTGCACCTCTTTTCCACACTTACAGCATATTATTTTGTTCCCCAAAAACTGAGAAGTTGCAGAGCTGTTTGAATTGACTACCCCCACCCCCGACCAATGCCACGACAATGAGAATTAGAAACTGTTCCATTTTTCTGCACGTCATTAGAAACTGCACCAAGCTTCTGCCCATTGTTTCCCCTCCTGTGATCAGCTGCAGTTTGGAATAGCTCTTTAGAAATTTGATGGGAACGATTGTTGAATGATCATGCCAGCTGAGCTTCCACCTTTAATGCCAACTGCATTGTGGTAGGTAAAGTCCAACATGGTTGCAATTCCACCAGATTCCTGACACTTGGCTTCAAACCCATTAGATAACGATGGATTACCCGTGTTTCAGATTCAGTCAGGTGCACATGAGTTCGCATCTTTTAAAAATCATTTATGTACTCTTGAATGGATTGAGATCCTTGTGTAAGTGATCGATAATTCTCAAATAGAATTCCTACGTAATTTATAGAGACGAATTGTTTTCGAACCAATCGCTGCTTCTTTTCCCATGTCCGGATCTTGTCCTTGCTTGATTGAAATCTCATCATTTGAAGTTGCTGCCACCAAGAGGATGCAAAGCCTTTAAATCTGATGGCTACCACATTAACTTTCTTGCCGTCCATTGGCTCAAGATACTCAAAAATCCTTTCAACTTCATTTAGGCAGTCCAAAGTGTCCTGACTTGTTCTTCTCCAGTGAAATCTGGTATATCGAGCCTAATACGCGGACTTTGATCTCATTCAATGTTGTCATTAGCAATAGGACGTTGCAAATTTTGAAAATCAGCTTCTTCGACAGAATCATGCTCAAGAGTGGGTTGTTGTTGTTGTTGTTGATATCTCCCTTGTGCAAGTTGCTCTCTTCTATTCACACGCTGATTTAAACGAAGTGGTTGGCCTCTTTGTTCCCCATTGGTCTGAGCAGGAGGTCCCTGCAATCCGAATTGCTCTAATCTGGCGCAAAATTCGGTAAATTGTTGCTGAAGTCATTTTGATCTTGCTCCAAATTTCTACATCCTACCATATCTCCGCGATCTCACAGATTTTAATAATGGGGCTCTGATACCACTTGAAACAAATCTAAGTGAGCAAATACTATCAACTTGGGCAATCTCAAATTTTGAATACTCCAAACACAGTTGAAGCCAAGATTTCTTAGGGAGAAATCAAAGAAAACAACCAAACTAAGAGGAGATAATATTCAAATAAGACTTTTTATTCTGCCCTTTACAATATACATAAACATTCAACTTATACTAGTTTAGGCTCCATATTACTTTTCGTAGAGACTTAAATTTACTAGAATAATAACTCTAATAATGACTCTCCAATCCCCCCATGCAACCATTTCACTGACTATTAATACAACTGACTTCATTAATAATCTGTGCACTAGAAAACTCCAGAAAATTCTGCTTCAGTCGTACACTTGCAAGAACAGAGCTCAGATGATAAATTTTCCTCATATGTAGAATCCAATCTAAGAGATAAGGAAACATCAACCCATCTTTGACTCTAGTGAATATAACCATAATGTTAGAGATACGACTTCCCTTGTTTATTGGTTTCCTTCTGCTTTTATTTCCTTAGGATGTATGTACATTTTCAAATGTGATTTGATATCTATTTTATTGGTGCAGAAAAATAAAAACCCGCGTGGCAAGTATAATAAGCTTGTCATGAAGCAAAAAGGGGGAAGCCAGCTTGAGAATTGTCTACAAAAGATAGAAGTCACCAAAGCTCAAATAAAAGAATTGAGCGAACAATACAATGACATGGCTTCTGAAATGGCCAGGAGAAAGAAGTAAGATATCATAGTTCTAAATTAACCTATATTAATTTGTATCTAACATTTTGCATGTTTAGTTCTAAATGAATTTTTGGATATATAATTGAAGGGGAGGAAGTAAGTACATAAAGAAAAGACTACTGGAGAAGAAGATTATGGAAATTAAAGACATTTTTTATGAAATGCAGCAAGAGAAGAAGGTTTGACTGTGCCATTATGTTTAAAAGCTTGAGTATTCTTGCATAATATTAAAAATTGGTTGTTTGTGATAGAAAATTGAAGGTTTGACCATTTCACTGCAAATTCGTGACGGAAGCTCATCAAACAAATCGAAGGTTGTTTTTGAAATCAGGTATATTGTCAATGTAGGACTTGCAATTTCTGATCTTTTTTGGAGATCATTGTGTAGAAATTGTAGAACAAAACTTACTTTTCATTTCTAGGAGGGGAAAAATCCTGCAGAAAAGGAAGAGATCAACTTCTCCAGAAGACATGTCCGAGGGTTCGAAAAGGTAAGCAATAGTGATGAGAAACTTCAAATATAGAAGCGCTATTTTATATGCAGCAATAGAAGTGGGCTAAGTAGAGTATGATTGATTTTCAGGGAAATACAAAAGATTAAAAATGATTTGGAAGAGTGTCAGAGGACCGTGAATGAGCTACGAGAAAAGTATGAGGCCTCCACTCTTGAGTATGAAAAAATGGTAAATATTTAACTTCATTTAATAATATCTGATATTTTCTAGCTTGTTGGTGATATGAATGTTTTTTTCTCCGACTAGAAAGATAAAAATTACATAAAGCTTCGAAAGGAGATCACAAATCCATCTTCGAAGCATATATATAAGTGGTATTAAGTAGAGAAAGAGGTAAGCTAAAGAAATTGTAGTCGTCATGATTTAACTTTTCATTTTATTGAGACTTGAATAGACATTTATTCACGTAAAACTACTTTTTCTTGCAAATTGTGCACACTGATATCCTACTGAATATCTTTAATATTGTGTGCATTTTATTGACAATTTTACTAGACATGCTTCGATCATCCCATGAAAGCTACGCAGTTTCACAAACTGGTGAAAGACAGTTTTAATACCAAAAAGTGTGGGTAGGTCTTTGCAACCGTTTATTGCCAAACTTGGGTAGTGTTTAGACACCTATGCCCCATGATAACCGACAAAATCTCAATACGAAGAGAAAAATAGACACGTGGTAGAACTTGGTCTTACCCTTCTTTCTCAAGGTGGCATACACATTAATTTCTCAAGGTGGCATACACAAATTGTTCAATGCCCATCATACCTCATCTTCTACACAACCTGTTGAGGCAACTTCAGCGTCACAAGCCCTACATGACACTCACTGGAAGAGTGTCATGATTGAAGAATTTTCAGCTCTCATTCCCAGTAATACATGGTCTTTAGTTCCTTATGATGAAAAAATGCATGTAGTTAGGAATAAATAAGGTTTTAAGTTGAAACACAATCCCGATGACTCTGATCCAAAGATATGATTCACGTTTCTATTTTGTAACTTTTCACTTGATCATAAACCCTCTACTGTTTGTGTTATTCTCTTTGTTTGTTACAAAGTGTAGGGATGCAGGTTGATGTTACTAATTCTTTTCTTTAATTGGAACCTATAGATGGCGGTCTTTGTGGCTCAACCTGAAGTGAGTGAGGACAAGAGTGAACCACACGAAGTATGCAAGTTACACAAGCCCCTTTACGGCCTTAAACATAACTCTAAATCTGAAGCTAGTCTTTCCATTTATCACTAGTATGACATTTCTCTCTTGTTATCGTGTATGTTTGAACTAGCTATAATCGAAACACACAAATTCCAATAAATTTGGATGTCTTGTACCAAGCTTTTTTAACAACTCTATGAAAGCAAATTGAAAGCGTGTAGTGAGCTCTACAGAAAAACTCAATGAGGTGAAAGAACTAGAATTCCAACTGTCCATTTTAATTCTCAAATTGCCGTTCTTGGCCTTTGCTAAATTGAATTGATTAATAATGTGATCCTTATGCGTCGTAGGATTATATAAATTATTTTGTCATTTATTTATCTTAATTTTTATTTATTATTCACATGACTAATCAACTACATAGGTTTGAAGCAGGATAGCTCAATTATTTCTTATGAAAAATTTAATCGACAGGTCTACAACGATATAGCCTCCTCTAGGATTGTAATCTACTACTTTATTTATTGATAAAAATAATTTTCTATATAAAAAAAGTAGTTGCAACTTTGATTTAAATAGATGTGTGAGATTTGTTATATATTTATTTTTTTGTTTGACTTATATAATTATTTGCATTGTTTTAAGGAATCGATTTAGTAGAGACCTAGAAGATATATACATTAACCACATTTAATAGTTATTATCACAAAAATATAATCAAAAGTAGTTACTTAAAAAAAATTAAATAATCTTTGGCATGTGATAGTCTAAGCCCAATCAACGATTGGTAAGTTTTTTTGTAGATGTTTTTGTTCCCAAAGCTTGATCAAATAGGAAAGAAGAAGCAAGTGAAAGAACTTGACACAGTTTCCGCAGATTTTTTATTTTTCATTTTTTTTTAAGTAGAGATATTAACCATTTTGCATGGAAAGAAATTCAAAAAAATCGGAAATATATATATATATATTTTTTTACATAAATTACCTTTGCTGAAAAGTTGGCCACAATCATCGTTGATTTGGATCATTATTTCCACTTTCAAAGGCAGACTATTTATTTTCTTTCGTAATTACAAATATTGAACAATAGTACTTTTGATAACACATAGTGAGATACATACTATTCAATCTCAAAGCAATATTAATATTAAGTATTGGTTTGATCCCCATTCATAACAAATAATGAATTTTGTAATAGTAATTTATTTGAGATTGTGGTTAAAAAAATAGGAAAAAAATTTGGGCTTACGTTCAACCATAATTTGGAAATGTTGGAATGACTATGGTCGAAGTTTATTTACTGCCGACTATAAATTCAGATTCTGTCTTCCATTTGAAAATGGTGTAATTTGGGCTAAGTTACATATTTTAGAGTGAAATCAGTGGCGTTTGAAAGGTCTATGAGTCTTCTAATAGTAGATATTATCTAGAGAAAAAGTTATGTCTGTTTTGGTACACTACGTCGTTTTGAATCCGAGTTTTCTGTCCAGCATATTCGAGCAATATTTTCGTGCTACAAACGTTATCATCAAGCCCCCAAATTTTTATATGTGTACCATATATGAATTCTTTAGTCCCTATAAAAATTTCATAATTTTCAATAGACATTTGCTCGGCCAAATATGTTTTTCTTACGTTGTTGTTCAATTCGTAATTGATGAATTGCCTCCAGTTGTTTTCCAAAACCAAATTTCGCCATAATTTTATAAGTTTATATGAATAACTACCTCTCATTATAATTTTATATGTTTCAAAACCCAAAAACTTTCTAATTTATAAATTATTTTGGTTAACATCCAAGGGGTCGAATCAAAGAAAGATCGATTATTTTTAATGCTTTGGGTTCTGGGAATTCGGGGTGTTACAACTTGGTATTAAAGCATGGTTCATTTTTTGTAGACTAACATTAGAGACTAAGTCTTAAGAGTGTTGTGTCAAATTTAAAGTTGAACAAATTTTTTTTTTCCCTAATGAGGATCTTGAGCACTGTGTCTGCCATGCTACGCCATGCAAATTTTGAGGTAAAAAAAGTTTCACAAATGTGATTGCATCTATGTGATGATTATGAGCAAGTTTATATGAGATGCAATATTTGAAATGTATGTATGAATATCAGCATATAGTTTGAATACTTTTTGTAGATAATTAGTAATGTACCAAGTATTTTTGAGAACGTGATTAAATGTTTGTTTAAGTCCTCGAGAATTAACTAAAACTTATTAGACACCCACTTATTGGACTTTGAATAACTGGTATGACTCAGATGGTACGGATTAAGAAAACTTGCAGGAAGATGAGTTCATCGATGCCTCGTCGATATGAGATCTTGAGGAAATATGAAGAGTATTGTTGGAATCCAATGCACAACATGGGCCAACACATTTGGGAGATGTTAGTAAGATGGAGAGAAGTGAGACAACTAGGCTATGTGGTCACTGGTCCTCGAGTCATCCGCCTCCTTATTAAGACCTTGCCAGAAGAGTGGCTAGAGGTGGCCGAATCGATTTATTATTATTTATGGGAGGTTGCTGTGCCTACCTTACCTCGAGAGATTGATTATGAGGCCTTCTACGTAGAGCTAATTGAGCGGTGGGAGTTGGCCCGACTTGAGATCCCCGAAGACAATAGTGTACCAATTGAGATGCACATTCATAAAGATGCACCTCCACCTATTTCAGACGATGAGGTTTAGTTTTCAAAGAAACCTAGGATTCATGGAGGCTGGATTAATGATTATGATGGCAATGATGAATAAGTGAATTTTAGTAGTTTTTATCGGGGTTTAATTGTTGTTGATGTTTAGTACGTAGGATTTCTTTTATGATGCTATGGAATAGCGCTAGACGCTTTTTTAATTTTATTTATTTATTTATTTTTGTCTCCTGAAGGATTTATATGAGAAAATAATAAAGGATGTTGAGCTATAAATCTTTTTCTTATGTTGCACAAACATCGTTGACTCCATTAAATGAGATTGCAATTATTCTGGCATATAGGAATTTGGCACAAGCGAGGACAATTAGGGAGTTAAGGCGGGAGATTGATGAGTTGAAACAAGCCTTGGCTGCTCAGGTTACACCTCTAGCACCTCAAGCTGCTCAAGTTATGTAGAAGCCCCAAAAATAAAAAATGAAATTACGCTCATATTTTTAGGTGATCATCTAGCACCACAAACCTAGCTCATAGACTAACCTTATGCTCGACCCACACAAGAAATGAAAGCCCAATACTTGTCCAATATGTCTTAAATAATTTTTAAATGAAGTTGGATGGAATTTAATGTTTTCCCCAAAGATTTGACCCGATGGTGAAAATTTATTTATGGTAAATATTTCTAAGATTTGATTTCCGTTCGTTATTTTTCAAAAGGACCGAATTATAAGAAAAATAGAATTATAATTAAAATAGAGTTTATTAAGTTCTAATTGAGGTTATGTTGCTTCCTTGTTTTGATTAGTTTAATAAGGTTAGGGACCAAAGATTTAAAAAAATAAATGATGACGAACTATATATATAA